TTTGGTTATTGATCCATTGATTATTTAGGAGCATGTTGCTAAGCCTCCATGTGTTTGTGAGCCTTTTTGTTTTCTTTGTACAGTTTATTTCTAGTTTCATTCCTTTGTGATCTGAGAAGTTGGTTGGTAGAATTTCAGTCTTTTTGAATTTGCTCAGGTTCTTTTTGTGGCTAGTATGTGATTTATTCTGGAAAATGTTCCATGTGCACCTCAGAAGAATGTGTATCCTGCTGCTTTTGCGTGGAGTGTTCTATAGATGTCTATTAGGTCCATCTGTTCTAATGTATTGTTCAGTGCCTCTGTCTCCTTATTTATTTTGGGTCTGGTTGATCTGTCCTTTGGAATGAGTGGTGTGTTAAGTCTCCAAAAATGAATGCATTGCATTCTATTTCCTCCTTTAATTCTTTTAGTATTTGTTCTATATATTTAGGTGCTCCTATGTTGGATGCATAGATATTTATAATGATTATATCTTCTTGTTGAACTAACTCCTTTATATAATGTCCTTCTTTGTGTCATGTTACTTTCTTTGTTTTGAAGTCTATTTTATCTGATACAAGTACTGCAACTTCTGCTTTTTTCTCCCTGTTGTTTGCATAAAATATCTTTTCCCATCCCTTCACTTTTAGTCTGTGTATGCCTTTGGGTTTGAAATGTGTCTCTTGTAGGCAGCATATGGATGGGTCTTGCTTTTTTATCCATTCTGTAACTCTGTCTTTTGATTGGTGCATTCAGTACATTTATATTTAGGGTGATTATCAATAGGTATGTACTTATTGCCATTGCAGGCTTTAGATTCGTGGTTACCAAAGGTTCAAGGTTAACTTCCTTCCTATCTAAAGTCTAACTTAATTCACTTAGTATGCTATTACAAATACAATCTAAAGGTTCTTTTTTTCTCCTCCTTTTTATCCCTCCTCCACTCTCTTTATATGTTAGGTGTTGTATTCTGTACTCTGTGATCCCTTGACTGACTTTGTGGCTAGCTAGTATAATTTTGCATTTGGTTAGTATTTAGGTGGTGTACTTCCTTTGCTGTGGTTTTATTTTCTCTGGTGACAGCTATGTAGTCTTAGGCACACTTCCATCTAGAGCAGTCCCTTTAAAATACACTGTAGAGATGGTTTGTGGAAGGTAAATTCCCTGAACTTTTGCTTATCTGAGAATTGTTTAATCCTTCCTTCAATTTAAATGACACTATTCTTGGTTCTAGGCCCTTCTCTTTCATTGCATTGAATATATCATGCCACTCCCTTCTGGCCTGTAAGGTTTCTGCTGAGAAGTCTGATGATAGCCTGATGGGTTTTCCTTTGTAGGTGATCTTTTTTCTCTCTCTGGTTGCTTTTAATGCTCTGTCGTCACCTTTGATCTTTGCCATTTTATTTATTATGTGCCTTGGTGTTGTCCTCCTTGGGTCCCTTGTGTTGGGAGATCTGTGGAATCCTGTGGCATGAGAGACTGTTTCCCCAGCTTGGGGAAGTTTTCAGTGTTTATTTCTTCAAAGACACTTTCTATCCCTTTTTCTCTCTTCTTCTTCAGGTACCCCTATAATGTGAATATTGTTCCATTTGGATTGGTCACACAGATGTCTTAATATTCTTTCATTCCTAGAGATCCTTTTTTCTCTCTCTCTGCCTCAGCTTCTTTGTATTTCTGTTCTCTAATTTCTATTCCATTTACTATCTCCTCTACCTCATCTAATCTGCTTTTAAATACCTCCATTGTTTGTTTCATTTAAATTACTGTATTTTTTAAGGTGTCTGTCTCCCTCCTGAATTTGTCCCTTAGCTCTTGAATATTTCTCTGTAGCTCCATCATCATGCATATGACTTATTTTGAATTCTTTTTAAGGAAGCCTGGTGATCTCAGTCTCACTGAGCCTCTTAATGGTGTTTGAGCGATTTCAGAGTGAACAAGGTTCTTCTGCCTTTTCATAGTCCTGGAGGGATGGGAGTGGTTGCAGGCGAGAACGTGGATATCAGCTGGGAGGACAAAGTCCTTTCCAGCTTCCTGGTCTCAGTACTTGTCTTGCTGTCTGTGCTGGTTAGCTGTGTGCAGGGAGTGGTCTCTGGGTTAGTCTCCTAAACTGCCATGGGTGGGGCTGCCCTCCTGCTGGTTTTGGCAATGGCAGGGTTCACCACAGGTGTTTCCTGGGAGGGTGAAGCCTTTTCGTGCTTCCTGGTCGCTGTACCTGTTTCTGCTGTGAGGGCCAATTAGCCACGCACAGGGAGTCGCCTCTGCGTTAAGTGGTGTAGTTGCTTTTGGGAGGGTTGCCCTCCACCTGTTCTGCAGCAGTGGTGGGGACAGTGGGTTTGCATGCAAATGCTGGTAAGGAGGTAGGAGTGGCAGGCTGCTTATCGTGGTGAGAGACCTTGGGGCTGCTTTGCCAACCATGGGGATGGAGCACCTGAAGCTCCTGAAAGTTCCCAAACTGCTGGACTGGGTGTGCTGGGATGATTTTGTCCACCTGTTCCTTCTTATAGAGCCTTGCTCATTTAGCAGCCCTCTGACTGTTGAGAAGTCTTTCAAAGCAGGTGCTTTTCTTTTGTCCCAGGGCAGCTGCTTGTGGGAAGCTGTTCACAGTCTTAGTCTCTGCCTTTGGTTTTCAGCCCCTCTAATCACCAGACGCCATGCGGTGTTGGTCTGTGCTCCCGGGGCAGGTTACTAGGGCTGGTTATTTAGCAGTCCTGTGCTTCCACTCCCTCCCCACTCTGATTCTCTTCCTCCACCGGTGAGCTGGGGTCGGGGGAGTGCTCAGGTCCCGCCAGGTTGCAGCTTTTTTACTTTACAGTTTTCCATGAGATGTTCACTTCTCAGATATAGACTGGCTAGTGTACTCTTACTTCTGGTCACTTTTTTAGGAATAGTTGTATTTGCTATATTTTCAAAATATTTGTGGTTTTGGGCAGAGATTTCCACCACACTTATCACATTACCATGTTTTTTCCTCTCACCTGTCCTCTTTCTTTTCTTGTATGGAAATAAAGGAATTGAAAACTGGAGTTTTAGAAAAGATAAACTAATAGGTAAAATTCACTGATTTGTGTATTATAGGTATGTTCTTTGATAATGTGTTAAATCTTTTTATTTCCAATAATAGGAATCTTGGGATTTGGAGGAAAAGCTGCTTGATATTAGAAAGAAGAGATTGCGTATGTAGAACAATTTTTTTTTGTTTACTTTTTTTGTAGAACATATTTTCAATTACTGTGGAGACTGATAAGGCCAGATCTCTAAGCTACTGAGAAATTTAAATTTCTAAATTTTCAAATTTTCTTAAAACTTTGGGCTTGGCAATTTAAAAATAGTATACAAAATGCTTTTTGCTGGATTGATTATTGTTTTAGAACTTGAAATCACAAAGTTAATACTTCATCTGTGGGAGGGGAATCAAATTATATATAAAATAGTTTAATGTGAAAGTGATGCCTTCTACCTGTGTGACTGCAGTTACGCATGTATCATTCCAGGCCCTTTTCCACAACTACATAACAATATTTGTATGTACATAATTTTTAAATGATCAGTTGATACATATGGTTCTACAGTTTTTTTTAACTTAATGACTATTTTTTGCACTGAAATTATTGAAATGTTTATTTTAAAAGTAATACACATTCTCTGTAGAAAATTTGGAAACAAAAAAGTTTACAGAGGAAAAGTTAAACTTTCAGTTTTACATCAAGAGATAATCTTCAGTGCTTATTTCTTATAAAACTGACATTTTATTTTGTGTTATCAACTGCTTTTTCATTTAATAGTAGAGGCATGATTTATAGTTTTTAAGTATTACACAGATTTGCCTATTTGTAAGTAATCTCAAGAGTTAGTAGTAGTCTTGGTCATCTGATTTAATCACCCTTCGGTTGTTTAATTTTTTTCCATTACATTCCAACCTACTTATGATACATAACTGTCAAGGAACCAAGCTGCTGAAACATAACTCATTGACATTTTCAAGTGGTTTGATTCTTAGAACATTTCAGGAACTCCAAAAAAATGGTTGATGATGTTTGTCCCTGGAGAAGAGATTCTTAATTTTCATTGAAAATTTATCTTGTTGATATTGCATTTTGCAAATAAAGGGGGAAAAAGTATTTCCTTACATGTATCTCCTACCTGTTTTTTTGGCAACTCAGAGTAAGTACTCTGACATGGTGCCACTTCAGACATTTGTAGATGGCTATCATTTTCATACATATGTCCCTTAAACATTTCATGGAGAGCATTGCTAAGTATAAAATTTAAATATTGGTATTTTTCACAGGGGAGTAATTTTTACATCAAAGTAGAATTGTGCCCTAAACTGCTGCTTATTAAAAATTTTCTCTTGACTGAAATCACCAGGAACTGTTCTGCTTCATAGTTTTTCAAGATTCTTGTTTGGAGGAGTTGTCCTGTATAGTATATTATTTTATTTTTAACCTAATAGAATTAAAACAAGCTTCAGAAAGTAAGCTTTTAGAAATACAGACTGAAAAGAACAAACAGAAAGATGAGCTGGACAGCATGGAAAATTCAGACAAGATAAAGACCATACAAGAAAATCTACAGGTAGAGATACAAATTACTACAGTTATTCAACATGTGTTCCAGGTAAGATTTATATATATTAGAAATGAAGTTTTAAAGAACTTTTTTTAAATGATTGATTCTACTACTCTCAGATTTAATTTCAGTTACTCTCTGATCTTGACAAAATATTCAATTCAGTACCAAATACTGATATGTTATATATATATCTGTGTGTTTAATTCATGGGTCTTTAATGTTGAAGGCTTTGATTTCTCATTATGGTTAGACCTTAAGCATTTATAAATGGAAAGACTTTAGCAGCTCTGTGGAGGCAGAATGGTATAATGGTAAAGAGCATTATGCTCTTAAGTTGGGAAGTAGGAGAAAACATGGATGGAGATTATAGGAATCTAGAGTTAAGATCCTACCTGCTACTTAGTAGTTGCTGACCTTGGGCAAATTATTTAATTTTTCTAAGCATCTGTTTCCTTATTAGAAAGGGTAGTTATGAAGCTAAAGAAGGTAATTGATGTTAATATGTTTAGCGTAGTGACACGTCCAAGTAAATTCTCAGTAAATTTTGGTAATTAGATTATCAATTAAAAAATGTTATGTGTTCTGTTATTCTGGAGGTTTTTCACTACTTTTTGAGTTACAAAATGTCCCTGGAACTGTTGAGATGAAATACTTATATTACCCACTTTCAATTATGAAGATACACAGTTAAAACTGCCTACTATATATAAGTAAGTGTCTGTGATGTGTAAAGCATATCCTTATAGAATATGAGGTCTTACATCTCTCTGTAAGAAACTCTTCCTTAGGTTTTACGTCTGCATTTTAGTAGCACTGAGTGATTTGATTAGGAGTGATGAAATCTCCTAAGCTAACCTCAAATGGAGGATTGCATCCTGAGTACAGAATCATTTTAAATTTCTTTGGCATATTTTCCATCCTACTGCTTTGAGTAAATGCCATTACTATGCACTTCTAATTTGTATTCATAGCTCCTAAATTAATGTTAATTTTGATTTAATGAACTCATTGCTTTGGTAAAGAGAACATAGCTTTTGGCCATCTTAGGAGCTAAAGGAAGATCAGCTCTTATGGGTTCAGTCACGCTTGACTGCTTGCTTCTACCTGCCTTTGTAAACAGGACCAGATTTATATATACGTGACCTTTCATTCACTTACAACAAGAATATGCCTTATAGAGGCCAAAGTTTTAGTATTTTTATATTTAACAGGCTAACACACTTATACTCTAAAAATCTGTTTTATCAGCATTTCAGTTAGTAACTCAGTATCATTGAGCCATAGTTCTCCAAAGAATAATGACCAGAATTTTCATCAGTTATGACCCTAATCATTCCTCTGTTGTCTACCACAAATATATTCTGCACCTTTTTCAGGGTATTGAAACTTTGCAAGTCCTGATAACTAAGCTTTTCTTCTACCTCTTTTTAAAATAGGACATATATTTATTAAAGTATATAACTGTTAAGTTACTATATTGTGTGCTTAAACCAATGTAATATTCTATATCAACTATACTTCCATTAATAATTACAGAAAAATAAATATTTTGATTTAAAAATACAAATAGGACATACTGCTTATTTTTCTTTAACCAGAGAAGTGCAAAATGAACTCAGAATCGTAGCTGCAGTCTTTTCCTTTAATCAAGGATACCACTGCAAGTATCCTTAATAGGTTAAAAACTATCCACAAAAACTGATGAAGCATAAAAATTGTTGTAGTCAATGTAAATATTCTTTTCCATCATGGGGATCAAGCCTTACTGAGAGTGGAAATGGAGATACAAGAATGTATTAATATTTTTTCTCTTGATCACAGAGTAAATATTCACTCCTTGTTCAGTAAAGACTTGATGAGAGCCAGTGAAAAAAATTTTTTTAATCTTGTTAAATTTTTTAAAGTACTTATAACTAATTAAAAACTTTTTTTAATTACAGAACCTCATTTTGGGAAGTAAAGCCAACTGGGCAGAGGATTCTGCCCTTAAGGAAACTGTTCTTCAGCTTGAGAAGAATCTTACCATGATCTAAAAAGAATTCTATCTTGGCATTTTTTGTTTCTGTCTTTGATATGTCGTTTAAATAGCAAATTTCAAGTGAAATGTTTTTCCTGTGTTTTTGGAACTATTCTAATACTGCAAATTTTTTTTTTAAACTTGAGTTAACACTGTAACATGGAATCTTACTTTAAATATGATAATTAAAGTGACTGTCATACTGTAAGAGAATCTTAAAATCTTAGCCTTGGAAAGATCCTGAAGGACATCTAGTCCAACTTTTCACTTACATGGATATTTTTTGTACATTTCTGCAGTTCCAGATTTCATCTGAAATACCTGTAGCTTTGTTTGTCAACCAAAATATTAGAAAAATTAGAAAAGCATGTGCATGTCTTTATTTTTTTAACTGCCAGTTGTATTTTATTCAAATAAATCTTTTTAGATTCATCTCACTACAAATTTTTTTTTGAGATATAATTTTCATACAACACTGTGTAAGTTTAAAGTATACAATATGTGGATTTGGCCACCATGGCATTAGCCAACATCTCATCTCCATCATGCCACTTAGTTACTTCTTTCTTGTGAGAACATTAAAATCTAATCTCTTAGATCTTTGAAGTACATAATACAGTATTGTATATAATAACTGTATTGTATACATAGTTTTGTATATAATAACTACAATTATATATGTATATATAACTATAATTATAGCACTGTGCATTAGATCTTCAAAACATTCATCTTCTAACTGCAGATTTGTACCCTTTGACTGCTTTGCCCCATCCCCCACCTCCCATCCACATCTCTGAACAGAGACCCAAATAAAGCACCTCAGCCTTGAAAAAGAAAGAAAAAGAAAAACATATCCCAAGCATTAACAATTGTGGTTATTGTAGAGGAATTGACCTTTTTTCTTTTGTATTTATGTATTTTCATGCATTGCTTTTATAAGTTAAAAAATAAAATAATAAATGTTACTGTTATTAAAAAATAGAACTTGCCACTTTCTGTAGCATCCCATTCCATTTTTGGAAACCTTTAATTTGAGCTCTTTATTAATTTGGAACTGTTGGTCATTTTTATACACAATGTAGTATGTTAAGTTCTTTTAAGAAGGACTTAAAACATGAAAAGATGCACTACAGTGGATAATAGCATTTGAAATTCATTCTTTAGATCAATAACAAATACAGAGATTTACCTAAATATGAATTCTAAGCTCTTTTCTTTGGAACATTTATAGTTTTACTTCATTTGTTTCTCTTTGCCACAGTATATTTTTAGAAACCACTTACATAAATTGTTGTACAAGTTATATTTTTCTTCCAGAAAAACATTATTCTGGGAAATACCTTCCTGATCCAAAGATACAGCATTAAATCATAGATGCACACTTTATTAGAAATCCCAACTCTATTGGTCATGAGCATCATCTGAAAACCTCTGCATTTTCCTGGGATTTTACTGCCCTGTGTGTTCCCTCTTAAAGCCCAACTCAGAGAGAAGTTGTATTAATCATTTTTTCCTGAAATCATGCTGAATTACAATCCTAGGACCCAAGCCACATCTGAAACACATCTTCACATTTAACGAAGCCAAGTCAAATTACACAAGCACATTTAAAGTTTCTACTTGGAGGAGGTGTACATTATTTCCACCCAGGTTCCATTGACCAAGCCAGCATCACTTGGGCTTTACATAAATTGTTGTACAAGTTATATTTTTCTTCCAGAAAAACATTATTCTGGGAAATACCTTCCTGATCCAAAGATACAGCATTAAATCATAGATGCACACTTTATTAGAAATCCCAACTCTATTGGTCATGAGCATCATCTGAAAACCTCTGCATTTTCCTGGGATTTTACTGCCCTGTGTGTTCCCTCTTAAAGCCCAACTCAGAGAGAAGTTGTATTAATCATTTTTTCCTGAAATCATGCTGAATTACAATCCTAGGACCCAAGCCACATCTGAAACACATCTTCACATTTAACGAAGCCAAGTCAAATTACACAAGCACATTTAAAGTTTCTACTTGGACGAGGTGTACATTATTTCCACCCAGGTTCCATTGACCAAGCCAGCATCACTTGGGCCGGAAAGTATACTTCTCCCACAGCAGGGGAGTACTGGGTTTCAGAGTGGGGAAGGAAAATACTTGCTGAAAAGAATATAGTCTGCCACAGTCTGCTATCTTGGTCTTAAATATATTGACTTCTCTTTTGCAAGTAAAAGATAAGCTAACATGTCATCCAGTCATAAATTTCAAAGTTCAGGCTCTTAGGGTAGTCTTCCACATCAGGTACAGATTTGACTCGTCTTGATCTGGGACCCTCGAACTGAAAAGACATTCGGGAAGCAACCGTGGTCAATTCTATTGCAATTCTGAAATCTTGCTAGACAGATGAGAGAGGAGGTGCCCTTCCTTGGGAAGAGGGAACACTACTCTGCCCTTTGGGAGGGTCTCCCTTCCATTACTAATCTCAGCTTTATCTGAAGAGGGAATTAGAGAGTATGCCTTTGAGCAACTTTCTCAACAGGAGACCCAAAAATCTTTTGTTTTCATCTATATCGGTCAGCAAACCATTGCCGACCAGTTGCCTGTTTTTGTAAATGTTTACTTGGAAAAAGCCACACCACTGTTCCTGCATTATCTGTGCTGCTTTCCCTCTACAGTACTGTAATTGAATTGATACAAGTAGTTGCAACAGAGATTATTGGTGCACCCCCCCTTCCATTATTCAAGTCATTGACTTGAAGAAACCAGTTGCCCTGTAGAAAGTTCTCTATTGTGATTTGTCTGATTGCTTCTTAGTAGGGTATGTAGTATTCCTGTAAACTAGAAGTTAGCTCTAACTGTTTTATTAAATGTAGTTTCAGATTTTTTTTATTAAAAAAATTCACAAGAAGTGTGGGTACTTTATATTGCATCACATCAGGGGTCTGTCACGCATGCTGAGTTCTGCCTAACAGATCTACAGCCAGTGTCAGGAACAGGGAACATGGAACAAGGAGTCAGTCAAGGTAAAATGGGAACATTAAAAAGACAAGACAAGTGGTAGAATCAGACGATGTTCTTTGGGTCCACGAGGATAGCCATGTAATAGCACTGAAGATACAAAAAATCATGGGACCTGAGCAGAGTGAGTAATCAGATCTGATGGCAGGAGGCTGATTGAAACAGTATGGATTTGGGGATTGATGCAGTTTGCTGCCTCAGCTTCAACTACTTTTATCATTTTCGTACTAGAGATGGGAATTCTGTAAAGGAGTATGAATGACAACACTTAGAAATGACCCATTAGTAGAGAAAAATCAGCATTTTGCTGGCAGACTCCCCCAAATAAAATCCATATTAATATGGCCAGTAATTTACACTGTATTTAATAGTTTGTGCATCTATCATCAGGTATTCCCAGGAGACTTTTTGTATTAGAGGACTTGGAAAGTTTAACAAAAACTAAACCATAGGACTTCTTTGCCCATTTTCATCTCTAAAATGAAAAAATGAAAAATGTTTTATATAGAAAAGCCAAGAAAGTTTATCTGTGTCTTCTAAATGACTTCAGAATGAAAATCTAATATTGTAGATTTTCACATGGAAACTTCCTGTAAATAAAAAGTGTGGGTACTGGGAATCTAAGCTGTTGCTGCTTTTGAGCTTTTTTCCCCCAACTTTATTGAAGTCATCAAAAAATAAAATTGTAAGATACTTAAAAGTGTACAATGGAATAATTTGATATACATACATGTGTGAAAAGATTCCACATTTCCATCACCTCACATATTTGCTTTTTAATACGAATATTTAAGTTCTCTTAGCAAATTCCAGTTAGACAGTAGTGTTCTCAACTATAGTCACAACTTTTGAGCCTTAAGAACACATTAGTGTATCTGTTTTCATCAATGGCGACAAAATTCTTGTTAAAAATAGGTTTTATTTTTACAGCAGTTTTAGGTTCACAGCAAAAACAAAGTACAGAGTCCCCAAATACCCACTGCTGCCAGATACGCCCAACTTCCCATACTATCACAATCCTCTGCTAGGGTGGTATATTTGTTATAAATGAACCCATATTAATGTGTCATCACCCAAAGGTTGTGTATTCTATGGGTTTTGACAAAGGGTAATGACAAAAATATATGTTTCCACCATTGTATCATACAGTGTTTTCACTATCCTGAAAAATCCCTTGTGCTCTGCCTGTTCTTCCTTCTCTTCCTCTAACTCCTGGCAACTACTGATCTTTTTACTGTATCCATAGTTTTGCCTTTGCAAAATGTCATGTAGTTGGAGTCATTCAGTGTGTAACTTTTTTCAAATACCATCTTTTACTCTCACCAATGATGTACATGAATGCCTGTTTTTCTACAGCCTCCTCAGAGTGTGTTGCCCAAATATGTTGGCCAATTTGATGAAAAGTTTCAGTGTAGCTTAAATTTTTCTTAGAATGAGTGAGATTTAATGTCTCTTAATATTTTTAAGGCCGTTTGTATTTCTTATGTTAACTGTTCATATCTTTTGCCCATCTAATCATCTTATCAATCTGATTTTAGAATATGTGCTACTAAAACAAACTTTGAAAGCTTTTTAAAAATAGATTTCTGGTTTCCTCCAGAGTTGCACTGAATCAGAAGGGACTATACAGTTGGGCTAGTAACTTATATTTCCAAACTCCCCCACATTTAGAAAAACTGACCTAGAACATCAAAACAAATTGTCACACTAAATATTTATAGTAGCTTAAGGCTACATTACCTTAAAAGTTATATTAAATGGCCACAACATATTGTGTATTAAAAATTATAATGTAAGCAATTATTCACCATAGAATTTAATATAATTTGGGGATAATGATGTAGAAGCCTTAAATGTCCAAAGAAAAACTTGAATTCTCTCAAACTTGAAGCAAGCAGCAGTTTAATATCAGGATTAATGGTAGAAAACAAACAAAACACCAAATCTAAGCAATGACAATAAGTAAGGGTATATGAGGTGGCCTTGTATACACCCGGAAAATACCAACCCTTTCTGAGCTTGCCGCTCCTCAGGTTGTAACATGATGGTTGATTTTAGGAAGCCACGAGAGTTTGTATTACTTGGTTTCAGATTAAATTTTGTACTATACAGAAATTAGAAACTCTTCCTGGAGAGGAAGTGGTCTTGGATCACTTATAGACTAGAGAGTAAATAAACCCAGCATCATAAACCTTCGTCCCCAAAACAAAACAGTGGGAAACACGTGGGTAGGTTCCTACGGGAGAAGAGAAGGACTCTCCCTGCTGCCGGAACGCCCGCACGCCCCTCCCCGTGACGTCGCAGGCAGGCCCGCCCCCAGCTGTCCGTGACTCCCGTTATCGCTGTGGCTCGCCAGCGCCCCGGAAGCTGCCCCTTCTCGGGGGTCATGATGGGCAGCAAGATGGCGTCTGCCAGCAGGGTCGTTCAGGTAAAGAGATTCAGTCTCTTTTCCACACCGTAGGCGATAGGGATGGTGCTGACAGTAGCCACCGCGCTGGGGAGAAAAGGCGGTAGCGGAGGCAGCGCGATGACCGCGGCCCTGTGGCGGCGCCGGGAGGGTGTGGGAGAAGTGGACCTTGCGCCCACTGGGTCGGGTATTGAGCCTAGGGCCGCAGCTGAGGGCTCGAGCCAGGCCGCGGGAGTGCTGCCATCTCAGCAGGTAGGCGCATGACTGCTCCGGTGTCCCTGGACTGTCCTCCGCCAGGACCTCCTTAGCCCTCCTAGGAGTCTGCGAGCTAGGCAGGCAATCGTGTGGCCAATCAGCGTCTTGTATTGTCAGTGATGTCCGGGAACAGCCAATCGGAAGGAGGGCGGTAGCGGCGAGTGCCGGGAAGGGAAGTCTGTATCTGAACTGACCCAGTGTCCCTTCAAGGTCTTGGGGATGGCCTGAGAATTAGCCCCGTTGGCAGCGTCCTTGTCCGAGCCGGGATTTCCCTCACCAGTGTAAGCGTGTGGTTACAGGCCAGATGAGGGG